ACAAAACTTAGAACCTCAAATTGAAAAATTATAATTGAAACTGGTTAATTGTATAATAGAGCAAAAAACTTTGTAATTTAATTGAACAGTACATTATGTGATCACTGTTTTAGAGATGAATTTCATTTCATATATTTTATAGCATTAATATCATCATGATCATTATAGAAATAGGACAAATATATATATATATATATATATATATATATATGTCAATCAACTTTTAGAATCCACTTACATTAACAGAGCGCTTATTTTCCATATAAATATAATAGCCAACTTATGATTTTTTCTGTTTGTCAAAAGTTTTATTTACTATTTAGCTCACCTGACCTAAGAGTCTATGTGAGCTTTTGCCATCCCTTTGTCAAATCATCCTCCCTTTTCGTTAATTCATTGTCAGTTGTACACTTTTTCAAAGATCTTCTCCTCTGAAACTACTGAATTAATTTTAACCAAACTTAGGCTAAATGGTCCTTTAATAGGGTATAGAGTACATATATTTTGTAATTTTAATCTTGTCCTTTAATTAAGAAACTCTGCATAGTTTGGTCAAAACAATTAGCATTTTAAGATTAATCTGCCCTGAAATTTTCAGACCAATCTGACAACCCTATTTGAAGTAATTGCCCCTGAAATAATAAGTTTCCACAATTTTTATGTTCTTGGTAACACTGATTGTCATATTGAAAACAATTTCAGATAAAGATAAATTTTAAACAGCAAAACAGTTGTATGGATCCTTATATGAGTTATTGCCCTTGAAAGACAAAATTTTAATAAAATTTAGAGTTTCTTGTAGAAAATATGATAGATTGAGAGACACTTTAAGTGGTAAATATGTTCAGCTAAGTAAGATCTGTGAATAAGCTTACATGACCACAGATAAGCTGCGTTTTTGCGTGATCACGCAATAAAAATAATTAAAAACCCAATGTAATTGCCCATTGCAGGGTTCAATAACCCAATTAATTCAAAGGAAAACCCAATTATATGCCAAAAACATGGGTTTTTAACGCTTTTATTCGCTATCGTTTGCGTTATTTACCCTTACTTGATTACAGTCGTCAGGTAAATCTATTTTTATAATATTTATAATTGGAAATGTCCTTTCGTTCTAAAAATAGAGCCCTGCATCAAGTAGCTGTAATGGGTCCCTGTTGAAATTTTCCGTTGCTCAAAAGGTACACGTGTTTATGAAAAGATTTCGATCTTCTCGGCGTTTATCCAATTAGCGTGTGACATGCTGTCATTTTTTTTCGAATTGCTCGGGATTCATCGCAACATACAATGAATTAAAACGAAAGTAAATGTCCGGTAAAAATATTGAATAGAAGCATGTTTTCGGCTTCTTTTTGATAGCTGAGGGAAAGTTATGACGATAACAAGACTCAGCTAGTGATTTTAGGAAGCGGCCATTGAACGCACGGGCGTGTTTGCGTACCATAACGAGAACATTGCTAGAGCGATAAACACGGGGTTCCGTCAAAAACGAAATCAGTTGGAAAAAGTGAAAGGCCAAATCAATTATGACAAGATATGTAGTTTGAAAGCATCGGAAACTAAAAGTTCTGATAAGGGACAACTTAACCCAGATTTATGTAAATTGAATTAAACGAAAACAGTTTATATATTATTTTTTTCATTTTAGTTGATGAGTGAATACACATATATCCGTTTTTTTACGTCAATGCAGCTTGACACTTTTTTTGTTTTGGTCTAATTGTTCTAGATGCTTAAGATAGTTGTCTTATTGGCAAGTGCAGTATAACATTGTCATTTATTTACTTGATGTTGCAGAATTATTTGTAAATTTAAGTTGAATGTGGTCTCCGTCATTATAAACCACCCTATAAACTTCAAGGTTTTGGGGTATATCTTAAATCTGGAAACTACTTTTTTATTTTTATTAAAAAGTAGATCTGGCAAATAGGTGAAAGGACTGGCAAAACTTTCTTACAGCACCTAAATTTCACATATATTACACAAAAATCTAAACACTTAGCCACATCTACCCCAACTATAATTAAACTGTAGGGTGATCATATGGGATCTAGAAAGGCAATTAGTTCCTGTCCAACTAGTGACACCAGCTGCAGTTTACATAAGTTTTGAGAAAATACAAAACTGACAGAACGTTTAAAACGGGACACAAATTAAATGTTCAATTGCTCGTCAGTGAATAAACCAAATAAAACAGCTAGCACATATTCTACAAAGAAAGAAACACATTTAAGATGGAAACACATCTGGGGTTGATATAATGTGAATATAACATGCCTAAATATTCAATATTGTGTTGATGAAAAAACCCAATACATTAAGGAGCTTGGTGGTGAAAAACCCAATTTGATATTTGCTTGAGGGGTGAATTGGAATTGATAATGCAATTAAAAAACTTTATCACCCAATTACATAAAAAAATGGTGGGTAAAAACCCCAATTTGTGAATTCTTATCTGGAGCTCTGTCATGACCGAAACAGTCAATTGATCCTTTATCCTGTTTATAGCAGTTTTTGCCCTTGAAAAATTATTTTTACCTAAAATTATGTTTTTTGCAGAAACAATGATAGAAAGAGAGAAACTTTAACATGTTTAAGTGATAAATATGTTCAGCAAAGTAAGATCTGGGAATAGGACTTACATTATTTAAATCATTAATTGATCATTTAAAGCAGTTATTTCCCTTGAATGAATATTTTATCCAATTTTTTTATTTTTTGCAGAAACTATGATAGGTACAGACAACTTTTAACTGCACAAATGTATATAAGACATATATTTTTAAATAAGTGAACATGACCACTTAATTTAAAAATTATTGGAGCTAGCTAAAATACAAGTGTAAATTAGAAAAAAATGATCAGCTTGACAAGATGTACAAATTTATCCACCAAGGAATAAAAAGATTACTTTATTTTTATATATTGCCCCTGAAATACCTATTTTTCTTACTTTTAGGAGTTTTTATGCCCCATTTATGGGCATTATGTTTTTCAGTCTGTGCGTCCGTTCCTTTGTCTGTCCGTATGTCTGTCTGTCCCGCTTCAGGTTAAAGTTTTTGGTCTTTCAGGTAAAAGTTTTTGGTCAAGGTAGTTTTTGATGAAGTTGAAGTCCAATCAACTTGAAACTTAGTACACATGTTCCCTATGATATGATTGTTCTAATTTTAATGCCAAATTAGAGTTTTGATCCCAATTTCACGGTCCACTGAACATAGAAAATGATAGTGCAAGTGGGGCGTCTATGTACTATGGACACATTCTTGTTTGCTGTCATTTGAAAACTGTAGGAGATAGACCTGTTAAAAGTGTTGTCTGCAAAAATTATCAGCATGACAAGATCTATGTCATGTATGTTCTTTAATGGTATTTTTAACATTGATTTCTGCTTTTGGAGTTATTGCCCCTGAAACGTTGATATTTACTGTTTTTTTACAGTTTGGCTTGATATATATTAACTTATACATTTATAGGTTAGGTTAAACCTGTTAAATGCAAAAGTGATCAGCAACACAAACAGTACCTATATATATATATATTATATACAGCTGTATAGTATGTGCATTTAAAAGTCCTAGTAAACTGGTGTTTTGTTCACCAGGTGAGTGATACAAAGCCTCTTGTTTCAAAACAAATTTTGCCATACTTCAGTTTTTTAGACATTTCTAGTTGTAAATTATTTTCATAGAAATTGATCCAATATCCACCCATTTAGCATGTTAAGGTGGGAATCATATCTCTGGCCTTACATCATGTACATTGATGCAATATTCCGGGTTATTTCGGAAAACCTTCATCAGAGACCATCCCTTTTGTTTTTTTGTTTTTATGCCCCCGCCGTAGCGGAGGAGGCATTAAGTTTTACCCTTGTCCGTCCGTACGTCCCAAAGTTGGTTTCCGTTCTCTAACTTTAATTTGCCTCAACCAAATGTTACGAAACTTATACACAATACTTATTACTACAGAATACAGATCAAGTTTGAATTTTAATGGTGTCACTTTAACCGTTCTAGAGTTATGCCGCTTTACAAATGGAAAAATTGCTGAATTTTTCGTTTCCGTTCTCTAACTTAAGTTTGCCTCAACCAAATGTTATGAAACTTATACACAATACTTATTACTACAAAACTCAGATCATTAACAAATTTGGGTAGCGTCACTTTTACCGTTCTTCAGTTATGTCCCTTTATAACTTTTAATGATATATATGCAAGTGGGGGCATCATCTGTGCCCCATGGACACATTCCCCATTTGTTCATTTATTTCTTTTTTAATTACTGTTTTACTTTTATTTCTATTCATTTATTTTTTTTTAATTTATTACAGTTTTAATTTTTGATTTTTTAAATAGTTTTTGAATTGTTTTTTTTAATTTGTTAATTAGAATTTGCATTTTAATTTTTTGTTTTTCAAATAATTTTAACCAATGTTGAATTAAGTGTTTCATAGTAAGGAAGTGTGGTCTTAAGAATATCAGTTTACATGTGTTGTTTACATGATGGTCATTCATTAGTTCTGCACAGTTAAATGTTAGTAGAAACTGTGAGCTTTTTATATAAATTTTTTTATAGCTTTGTTTCACTTATTCACCAATGTTTCTTTTTCTTTTGAATCCTATTGATAGGTTTTATGGAATTTGGCACCTATTGTAGAACTTGTTTTAATAAGATGCAAGTATTTCCTGAATACTTTTTGAAGTTTTCTGCTTGAGAATGATAATTTGTACTGAATGATATATTATATCTATTTTCAACCTCGTTTCTTTTCTAGACATAATTTCATAGAAATTGATCCAATATCCACCTATTTAGGTGAGAATCATATCTCTGGTCTAATTTCATAGACAAAATCTCATAGAAGTTGATTCAATGTCCACCCATTTAGGTGCAAATCACCATTTTAAATTGTGCTTTCAAGCAGTTCATATGTAAAAAAAAAAGCTATGGAGGATAAACATTTTCAGCATGAGGTTTAGGCCATTCTGTTCTTATTTCAGATTGACATATATCCATAGGACATGCAGTTAGCCTAGACAATTCTCTGTAAAGTTCAAGGACTTTCTTAGTCAAATATGGGAAGATGTGAAAGGTAAGTTTGAAAGTTTGTAAGTGTGCAAAAATATGTTATGTCTAACAAAATGTGCTGTTTCACAATTAAAATACTATCAAAACAACTCCTGATTGCTCAACATTAAACTTCTGAATTGTCCATGAATCATCTTCACGATTGTCCCACATTATTTGCTCACCTGACTGGTTTGGTCAAGTAAGCTATTTTCATCACTTGGCATCAGTCATCCATTATTTTTGTAAAAAAATCATCTCCTTTAACCACTGCAGGGCTCAACAATAATGCGTGTCGATTGTCCGGTACCAGAGGGAAAAAAGGTCGGACAAGTAAAAGCTACATGAAGCTTGTCCGACGGGACAAGTTAAATCATTCTGTAGAAAAAAAATATTAAATCCAACTTTGACGATAAAAGTAATTACAAGATAACAATAAAAGAAGATAAAAGCAATTATTAATTTGACACGTTTACTTGCAACCAATAATTTAATACTGGTTCTTTGTCAGATACTTTTTAACAGATAAAACGCATACTATCGCATACTATCTCCGAATCCGGTCTTACTGCTTTGTAGATAAGGTAGTAACAAGACAGTTTGGCACCAGCACAGAAACGAATCGGCTCCATGTGTAATCGACTGTTTGGCACTGTAGGAGATATTTTGGGACCAAAACAACCTAGTACCTCATTTCCTTTCCTTATTCTGTTGCTTTATAATAAATAAGATAAATTTTATTTATCAAAAATATTCTTAAAATAAACATGAATAAATTATTGACTATTAAATTCAGAAAATTATATTTGATCATATGTAGACAAAACAATATTTGATTGCGTTTGAATAAACATTTTAATATATTAAAACAGCTGATTGTAGTCAGTCAGGGGACTTACTTAAATGAGTGATTTTCTAAATCACTGATTCAAGTAACATTATGTCCATAAAGGTTAGAAGTAAGAGTTGTCTTTCTATAATAATCACTTATTTAAGTAGTACAAATAAATCACTAGACTAAGTGATTTAATTTTATTGTAGCTTTAAATATAGAATACTAATGATCCAGGGACTAATTATATTGCTAAAATTATCAGAACCAACACCTGTGTTGATAGGATGACTGGGTCATGTCAGGTGATGACCTTGTACTGAATCTAAGATAATGAAATAAAAATCACTTGTTTAAGTATCATACCTTAACTTCCTACCAAACAATCACTCCTTTAAGTATCATTATTTTATTAACCCCCACTAATTTCAACACCCCCCCCCCCCCCCGCGAACAGTGAAATTTTGATCACGAACAGTAGAATTTTATTACATAATCTATAAGATGAAACCTTGAATTTTACAGGAAATATACTCCCACTGCTGGGAAAAATCTGTTAAGAAAGTATCAGTTCATTATGTAAAGCCATTTTTATAGCATTTTTTCAACTAAAATAGAATTTGCAGCTAAATGATTGCATCGAAGGCATAAACCTTGCTGCTTAAAAGAAGCAAAACGTTCATTTTTTTCAATTTTACTATTTAAATGAAAAGATATTATCTAAACCTATGTGTCTAAATTTTGGTAAAACTACAAAATCACAATTTGTGACAAAACTTCGAATTTGCTCCTTAAATAAGTGATTTAAAAATCACTTATTTCAATATGTCCCCTGACTGGTAGTAGGGCATCAATCATTATAATCAATATTTTTAACATAAAAGACCAGGATACAAACCAAATGAGTGTATTATGACTAGCAGGCCTACCAGACTGAGCCTCATGTGCTGAGTCGGATGAGACTTTGGCTTTGATGAATACTAGATTTAGTTGTTCTCGACTCATATTTTGAAAAGGATATCAAGAGATAATAATCAAATTCTGTTCCATTGTTTAAACTCATTTTGTTCATTGAATCAGCTTAAAATGCAAAAAAGGTTAATATTAAGATTTTTTTTGGACAAGTTACAATTCCATTTGAACAAGTAAGGTGATCAAGTCCTTATCCATATCCTTTAAGCAGTAGGTCATATATTTGGTGTATGGAGTGATTGTAAGGTATACATGTGCAACTGACAATTATTATCTGACCTTGACCTCAATTTCCTGGTTCATTGCACAATGTTTAGTTTTTGTGGTTGGGTCTATCTCTCAGATAATAGTAGCAATAAGGCCACTATATTGGTGTATGAAATGATTGTAAGCTGTATTTGCTTGACTGGTTAAACTGACCGTGACTTCATTTTCATGGATCATTTATGGATCAAGTTTATGCGATAATTGTAGTAAAAGCCTCATATTTTCAATCATAAGTAAAGCAGGAATGACATTTGTGAATGTATTGCACTCTTGTTTAAATATTTTCTATGCCAAAAAAATATTATGTCATGTATGTGTGTTTCCAGTTGCATGTAAAAAAAAATATAGGGTCAGTAGGTCAGGATATTTTCTTACTAATTTCATAGTGAAGTTCTTTGAACTTTTGTTCAAATGTTTTGAAGTTTGAAACTGTCATGAATGTTTGTATATCATGTATATATATATTAGATTTATGGTTGTATTTATATAATCAAGTGTACTGCAAGCACACATTAGCTGGCCAATTGTTTATTAGCATTCATGTTCACAAATAGTGCAAATTAGGGACATATGCTAAGGAAGAATTTTTGATTTTTGATTTTTTTGTCAGAGCCAATAAATTAGGGTTGGACAGCAAATCGAAACACATCTTTTTTGTTGTTAGCCCTATTGAAAACTATAGTAAAGAGAGGGAAACAGTTTGAATAGTATAAATGATCTCACATGTCTTTTTATCCCTTTAAAACATTTATTATCTTGAAAAATTAAACTTAATAATCGGGGCCTAATATGACCCTTACCGAACTTACTCCTTTAAAGGTCAAGACGGGTGGAGACGGGGTCAAGACTGGTCGAGACTGAGTTGAGATTGGTCAAGACTAAGTAGAGACTGGTCGAGACTGGTTGAGCATTTGGCAAGACCTTACCAAGATTATCAAGTACTGTATTAGACTCATTAGGTTAAATTGTAGACAAAAGTCAAGTACAGTTAAGTACAGTCTAGATAATGTTGAGTCTTTTCAAGCAAAATCTGTGCTCACTGTCAGAGTCAACTTTACATTGACAGCTTCAATCACAGGCGAGACACTGGGTTCTAAGGAACCCCTTACCAATTTTTCTTAAAACCATTTAAACTTGCCTTGTTTGTTTTAAGACAATTATTGGTAAAGTAACATAATTAAATTAATAGGATTAGAACTTTGCCTCTCTTTTAGAGAAGAAGATATCTGTAGTATGATTGCTAATCCTAATGCTAACTCTAAAAGTAAAAAAAAAAGGTTTTATTTTTTAAAACTTTTCCAGTTTGCCCAATTTGTTTGCAGGTAATAATCGGTAAAGTAACATATGTATCAAAAAATGAGAACACCAGATTGGAAAAAAAAGATGCAGTATGATTGCTAAGGAGACAACTGCCTTAATAAGAACAATATTTAAAAATCATCAGTGTGATATGGCTTCAAATATTGAACAAAACAAATGACATACAGTAAGCTATGAAAGGTCCTGTGATAACAAAATCATCTATTATAAGAAAGGACAAAATATATCGACAAAAACAATCATGAATAATATGCCTGAAGGACTTTAAAGTATTGAACTTGAAGTGACTTTTCTTTGTAGGATACATAGAAATCTTGGAGGACAAATTGACGAGAGTCTTAAAAGACACAGATATGAAGATAAACAAGAGGAAAAGAATGCCAGACATAGTTCATTTTGTAGTTTAAAGGACTGCAGACTTCCTGATATCTTTCAAACTGTTGTGTTTTTTGGTATAAATGTAATAATGCATTATCATCTTATTTGTATAGGCATAATTTGTATAATTTGGAGTTTAGTATGACGTCCATTATCACTAAACTAGTATACATATTTGTTTAGGGGCCAGCTGAAGGACGCCTCTTGGTGCGGGAGTTTCTCGCTGCATTGAAGACCCATTGGTGGCCTTCGGCTGTTGTCTGCTCTATGGTCGGGTTGTTGTCTCTTTGACACATTCCCCATTTCCATTCTCTATTTTATACATCCTGAAAATCTTGTTGGTACCTTTTATCTCCATTAATGCAACTGCTATTTATAAAACATTGTTGTGATTGTAGTTATATATGTGAGTTTATTAGTTAACTTGTGCGTAGTAATTGCATATATGAATTATTTTATACCATATCTATCAATCTTTGTCTTTTAATTAAGAAATAATTTTTAAAACCTTGCTCTTTCAATCCTAGTACATCTATTTTAATTATTTTGCATAGTTTATAAGTTTAAGTAATGCCATTTTATTTCCACATCTAAATTTTACAACAAAAAAAACATAAATAAAAGATTTATATCTGTGTTAACAGTTTATTCAATGAAATATTATATTTATGTTTAATTTGTAATATGCAGTTTGTCTCATATTTTTTTTAATTTGACACATTTTCTTATATTAATCATCAAATTTCAACAATTGTTGGAAACAAACTTACATAAAAACTTTTCAAATGTATCAAAATTCTGTGTTGTAAAATCTCTTAAAGATTTTCTTTTTCAGGATTTTCCCCAATATGTTTAAGAAATCTGTAGCATACTCTTTGCTTGTAGATTTTATTTCGGGATTTTTCCCGAAATGGGTAAAAAAATCTATGCAACAAGTGTGTGCCTGATAATAGATTTATATTTTCGGGATTTTTCCCGAAATGTGAAAATAAATTATTAGTCATGAGTTCTAGCATATACGTTGGGTTTTCGGGATAAATCCCGAAGTATTTAAAATCTTGCATATAGATTTTGTTTTTTTCGGGATTTTTCCCAATATGTTTGAAGAAATCTGTAACATAAATTTTTGTAAATTTGGTTTCGGGATTTTACCGGAAATGGTTAAAGAAATCTATTCATCAAAAGCATGCTTGATAAGTGATTTAGTTTTTCGGGACTTTTCCCGAAATTTGAAAAGAAATCATTAGTCATAAGTTATAAGTTATAGCATATTTATATGTTGGGTATTCGGGATAATTCCCGAAATGTTTGAAGACATATATGCTTTATACATTTTACATTTAGATTATTTTTTCGGGATTTTTCCCGAAATGTGTTTAAGATCTGTTTGTCACATAGCTATGCTACCAAAAGTTTTAATTAATGTTGAAAGTGATTTCGGGGAAATTCCCGAATAAAAAGTTGTCACATACATTTTTACCACAAAAATTTACAACTTTCATATATTTTGGGAAATTCCCCGAACACTAAATGTAAGTTTTATCAATTATAAGAATAAAAGCATGGAAGATTGTAAAAATTGTGTGTTTCTTTATGAAATCTGCATTCATTTATGGTAAACATTGAAAAAGCTTATAAATAGGAATAAAATGGATTTTACTCTTTTAAAATAGAGTCAGTTATATATGATTTTATTTGTATTTTTTCAACAAACATTGAGTGTGCTCAAATGTGTATTCAAATTATGATGTACATGTCAATGTCTGTTTTAGAAGTCACATGGATGACCCAAAAAATGACCCATGGGGTAAATGAAAACAATACAACAGATTTTAAACCATTAAAACGAAATATGTAGGATGGCAATTTCATCCTTTTTGCAAAAAGACATTAAATACAAGTACAGGTAAAAAATTAATAATGTTTATCAACATTTTTTACAAAGATGATAAGAGTAAAACTTGTAATGATTATAAAATAAACAAATTGAGATTCAAATATAAAAGAATAATAGATAGTTTGTGTCTATTCATAAGACAAAGTACAAGTAGATTCATAGATAAAAGTCCTTTTAGAACAGGAAAAGTAAAAGTGATAAAAATAAAACAACTGAAAAGATGTATATTTATAGTCTATCTGAAGGTCAACTTAAGTCTGACCTAATTGTTATCAATCAGAACGGGGATTTATCAGGTGTTACAAATAAATTAACTAATCACCAACTATGGTATTAAACAAACATCTTCATATCTGTACAGTTAATTGTAAAGGCCTTCAGCGACCTGACAACAGAAAAAGATTAATTGAATGGTCAAAATCACAAAAATGTGACATTCTTCTTATGCAAGAAACACACTTTACAGATAATTTGATAAAAATTTTATATACTGAATTTGAAGGCAAACTTTTACTAAGTAATGGTTCAAGTAATGCAAGTGGTATTGCTATATGACTGAAAAAATCTAAACTTTAAAATTATTGTTGACAATAAAGATAATGAAGGAAGACTTTTGCTTGTTAATATTGAAATAAATGACACTATAATAACAATAGTTAATATTTAAGCACAAAATAATCCAAAAAGCAGAAATACTTTTTTTTTAAAACTGTCCATGCAGTAATAGAAGAAAAAAAATTGGGTCAACTAATTCTAGGAGGAAGTCATAATGACATTTTATCCCAAATGGACTCAAAGAGCAAAATTAAGCAACAACAAAAAACAAAAAATAGTTCATAACGTAAATATACTTATAAAGTCCCTTAACCTTAATGATGTGTGGAGAATCAGAAATCAAAATGAAATTCAATTTACATGGAGTAGAAAAGATAGATCCGAGTCAACAAGAATAGACTATTTTTTGATAGCTCCTGAAGTATTCAAAAACTGTGTTTCATGTGATATTAGACCAATAGTATTACAATACACAGAACACAACTGTGTTTCTTTCAAAATTGATTTAAACAGAGGCCAAAAAGGAAGGGGATACTGGAAACTAAACAGTAGTGTACTTCAAAATAAAGACTATGTTGAAATAATTATGAAATATTAAAGAAATTTAAAAACAAAGCAAAAATGAAAACCGATCTTGATATTCTGTGGGACAATTTCAAAATTGAAGCTAGAGACCAGACAATCAGCTATTGAAAAACAAAAGCTAAGAAAAAAAAAGCAAATCAGCAAGTGAAAATTTTTTAACAAAATTAAATAGTATTATAGACACATGCAATGATAAAAACAATGATAACTTATTACATGAAGAAGAAAATATAGAAAATGAAATAGGAAAACTCTATAAAGAGAAAATAAAAGGTAATCAAATAAGGGCACGGGTGAAATGGGTTGAAGAGGGAGAGAAAAATTCAGCATATTTTCAAGGGATGGAAAAATCTAGGCAGAGTAGAAAAACAATAACCTAGTTATATGATGATAAAGGTCAAATTACAAAAGATCAAGACAAAATATTAAAATTAGAAGCAAATTATCATAAAAACTTGTACTCTACAAAAAATCCTGAGATAGAAGAAAACAAATAAGTATTTAGATTCTCTTAAAAAATATAAGTAAGTAAATGACTGTGGAAGTAAAACTTGTGAAGGAGAAATTACTGTTGATGAATGTACTGATGCAATTTTTAAAATGAAACTTAATAAAGCTCCTGGGCTTGACGGATTAAACGTGGAATTTTACTGAAAATTCCGGGATGAACTTAAAACTTTTATAGTCTCTACTTTTTACTACTGTTATGAAAAAGGGAAGCTATCTAACACTCAGTAAATTGGTTTAATACCCTTGATTTATTAGAAAAATGACCCTTTATCACTAGACAATTATAGACCTATTACTCTTTTAAACTATGTTGCAAAATTACTTGCTCATGCCTCAGCACAAAGATTAAAACCCCTGCTACCAAAGATCAAACATACTGACCACAAAAAGGATATGTAAAAAAAAAGGTATATTGGTTTTAATATTCGGCAAATACAAGATGTCATAGACTTCTCTGAAACTTTTAAAATAGATGGGCCAATTTTATTCCTTGATTTAACAAAAGCATTTGACTCATTAGAATGGGACTTCATGTTTGAGACTTTAAAGAAATTTGGCTTTAAAAATCATTCCGTAAGGTGGGTGCAGACAATGTACTCTGATATTAAGGTAGATGGGGGGTCTTAATTAAAATCCATAGAATTTTTTAATAATTTGTCAAAATGTAGATGTTATCATGCTTTTTTCCAGAATATAATAAAAAGAATAGGTCACCGGACTTTTTTTCACGCTACAGGTTGTGCAAAATTGTCAGATTTTGTATAGATTATGCATGGAAAATCCAATTTGGTGTGATAAAAAGAAAACTAGATCATAGAATTTTAAGATAAAATGTGTGAAGATAGCTCTCATAACATCCTTTCAGATAAAAAAAAGAAAAAATGGGGTCACCGGACTTGTTTTCTTGCTACATATTAAAATAGGTTACACTTCCTATTATAAAAATTACTTTATCTGAGCTATCTCCCCTACTATCTGAGTTATCTCCCTTTATGTGGCAAAGTTGAAAAAAAATAATCAAACAAAAATAATGTGTTTTTTTAAGAAAAAACAGCCGTAAATATGATAAAACACATAATTTTCTATATTAACATGAAAAGTCCTACACATGAATTACATACTACTCTCAAAATTTGCACATGTCATTAAAGATCTAGACCAATTGTTATCTGCTACTTCAAAATCCAAGATGGAGGAAGACACCCCAGCCACCTTAAAGGATGCATTATTAATAATGGATGGGTTTCTACCCGTTTCAGGGCATCTCGTTTAATCCGACAAGGATGTTTGTTATCATCCCTACTTTTTGTTTTAGCTGTAGAAGTTATGGCAATTAAGATAAGGGAAAATAAAAACTTAAAAGGACTAGAAATAAAACTAGACAATAAAAGTAATACTCTTACAATCTGCCAATTAGCTGATGATACTACTCTATTTTTTTTCATCAAAAAAATATGTTTCTCTAGCAATTAACTTAATAGAACATATCTGGTACGCTCTCAGGTTTAAAATTGAATAAAACAAAAACTGAAGGGATATGGCTAGACATTGTCGTGAAAAATGTGAAGATATAAATTGGTATACTCAATCCATCAAAAGCCTTGGAATTTATTTTTGTTACAATAAACAAGAATGTCAAAAAATAAACATTGAAAAACAACTTTTAAAATGTAAAAAAATAATATATGATTGGAGTAAAAGAAATCTCACTATTATAGGACAAATTGTTGTCATCAAATCACTTGTTTTGCCAAACCTAACATATATTGCATCAAATACTATTATTCCTAAAGAAATGTTGCAAGATTTTAAAACCTTAATATACAATTTTATTTCGAAAGTTAAAAGAGACAAATTAAAAAGATCCACACACTCAAATGCTTTTTGGAAGGGGGGACTTAAGATGACAGACATTGATGCATACATAAAATCACTGCATAATAGCTGGATTCTCAAATTAGGTGATGATAGAAATGATAATTGGACAATTATTCCAAAATTTTATTTCAACAAATTAGGAAAAAATATTCTTGTATTTAAAATGAATGTTAAGAATATAAACGACATAGATAAAAATAAGTTACAATATTTACCAGACTTTTATAAACAACTATCTAAAGATTGGATAAGTGTAAAAGGAGGTAATACAAGGTATACAAATTTTTTTCTTGAAATTAGAAAACAAGTTCTGTTGGGAAACGATAATATCAGGTTTAACAAAAAATGCTTCAACTTTGAAGATTGGATAACAAGTGACATTATCAATATAAATGACATCATTGATGAACAGGGTAAAATCTCTGAAACTATCATCCTATATAAAATTAAATATAAACAAAATTGGATAAAGCAAATATATATGTTAAAAAAAGCAATTATACCATTTAACTGGAAAACAACTCTTCCTACTGAAGATTCTATTAAAACTAAGGTTAAAGTCGTAAATGACTTAAAAACTATGTACAAGACAATAACTCTCTTAATGAGCACAAAAGAACTCTATTAAATCTTAACACTAAAAGAAAGTTGTGATAAACCAAATAGATTTCTTATGTGGGAAAAATTATTTGAGAAAAAATTAAATTCCAAGTTCAAATATAATTTTTCAATAACTCACTGATAATAGATTGAAAATATTCAGATGGCAACTTATTAAAAAGTGGAAAATAACTGCCGACAATTTAGGTGATCATTGTTAAAAAAAAAGACAATGAACACTTTTTTGTGAATTGCTCAATGACATTTAATACTGACTTTCTAAATATAGTAATGAAATTAATGAAATCCCTAAGTATTGACAAGGACAATATGAACTTTGAAAATTTAGTAACAGCTTACAAAATTAAAGACACAGCATACTTTGATATTAATAACATATTAACAATAATATCTTTCTCAATTTACAAAGCACATTATGTCTCAGAAAAGAAGACAAAAAAAATTTCAGAAATAATTGAAAAAAACAATTTTAATATCAAAAATAATAGTAAGATGATTCTTAAAACAAACAGATTTATTGCAAAGAATCAAATGAATTAGAATTAAATCTATGTTAGATGTTTTGAAACAATACTGTTATAGCAAATACAGAACATTGTATGCAAAATAGTTAATTGTGCACAAGCCAAATATGGTCATATTTATAAATGGGTTCAACCATGCATGTGTCCAAGATATGTTTGTAAACATGCTCAACCATGCACGAGTCACGACATGTAATATACTGTATTGTTAGATTTTAAAATGTGTAATCACAAACGTTAAACAAAAATAGATATGTGTACAGAAATAATGTGCAATCTCAGATGAATGTTATAACTTGTGCAATACATATACACGTCGACATAGAACAGATCAGTAGATAACAAAAAACAAGAAACATGTATACTCACCAAATGTTATCAAATAAGTTAAATCCTGTTTATAATAATGATATTTAGATGACGCATATCATAACTCTATCCGATAGCGCACATGTTTGCTAATTAGAACAAGTAGAATCATGAGGATTTTATTTCCTTCAATATGCATTTAGGCAATTATTATATATAAGGAAGCACGCTATGAAATGTATCTCTATTACTTAAATATGACATCTCTATATCATGGGTCAAATGTTGGTTTGAACAAAATTCTTTGATAGAAAAATATAACAATTCGAATCCAGCATATCTTACTAAATTAAACATGTAAATGTACAATGTATGTCACTCATTTGGGTTTCCTACTGTGCGTACAAACATATGGATTGAGTAGTACAATGAGACCTTAAGACCTTCTACATTTATATTTTCCTGATATTTTTGTACAATGGGGATGTACTTTTTTGCTGACAATTAATTGACAAATGTAAATGAAAGGCAATCTCAAATTTACATTTTATGATTTGGTTCAGAAAGTTCTGCATTAATATATTTTAGTAAGGTTCTATTTCGCTACTGTAATTATAGATTGCTAGACAAATTTTAGATGAAATGTTTTACGTCATCTAAAAATTCCAGAAAACAATAAGTCAGACTTTCCAGTGTTTCATAAAACATCTTACCTCGACGATGTTTTTCATCAGATCCTCGAGTTTTGTCTTAAATCTTAAAACAAATGACATGCTTAACAGTTAGCTAAAAAGTAAATATGCAATACTCTTCATTGAGATGTATTTGTTATTGACACAAGGTCAAAGATTCACTGATTGTATATCCAGTCTTTCTAGGGTGTGTGCTATATAATTATATATATGTATGCTAGTTTTCAGTATTTTCATATACATGTAGCATCATGGGGTTTATACATAGTACTGTATATTTAAAATTATTGGACCAGTGGTGGCCACACTTATAATACATTACATTATGAATTCTATTATATAATCAAAAAAGGCCATGAGGAGAAAAAAATAAAGTTCTTTATACATATTTGAATTTATAGTATATACATGTGTACTACTGTTATGTGCTATTTCCCTAATGATAAAATTCTATGGAATTGACACGGACATATGTACATTAATATATGCAAGAAGATGTACAACTATTGTGTACATGCACATTGATTAATTGATTGATTTATGTTGTTGAGCACCGCTTTTAACACTTTTGGTTATATCAAGGTTGCCATTTTTTTGCTTTGTTTGAAGAAGCCGGAGTACCAAGACAGAACCAGTGACCTTCGGAGGGAAAATTGGCAATGATAAGATTGAAGTCTAATGCACTTGCCATGAGGAGGTTTCATACTCATAAAATCAGTGTTGACAGGCTAATCATCATCGCTTATGAGCTATTTAGACGACTTGGTCACTGAGGCTCCCTATTCACATTGATATACATGTACAATCTGTGGAAGTTGTAGGGTGAATTTGAATAAGCCAAACTTATACATGTGCATGTATCATCCCTGCCAAACCATTTGTAGCTACACAGGTGGAGATTATATGCGACGACCTTTTCATTTTTGTTTTTTCCTTCAATATTTTGTATGAAGGTTCAAAATCTCTATTTGGAAGGGGGAATTAATAAGCAATGGTTGAGCTCCTGGAATATGTCACTATTTCAAAATTCATATTATATGATAAGGTTAAGAATTTTACATTAAGTATATGATAGCTAGTATCTTAAATAAATAGTATGTTTAAAGATGCAATTCAAACCACAGTCATAAATGCATAAGATATTTGAAAAATCAATTTTTAATTTCCATGAAATATTTCAAAACATATGAAAATGTATGCTAAGCTGCCCACCCCTCTTTTTTCCATTTATATTGATATGAATTTGTCTTTTTTGTGAATTAACTATGTTACAGTTCGGGTCTGTAGACTTCAAACTAGTTAGAAGAAAATTATCACGGGTCAACATTGGTATTAAGCTGAAAATTCTGTCTACTGGTACTGAAGACAAAGTTTCTGGACTTTGACCATTGGTAGCATGCCATGTAAAGTCACTGGTTTCATTTAAAACTCATTAAGATAATAACAGAGTCAAAGTAAACTCTTAATCAGTTTGATATACAACTATAAGTTATATTCCATACAAATCTGATAAACCTCAAAGCATAAAACGTTACAGGGAACCCCATGGAACGTCAGACGTAAATCGTGGTATTTGGTATTTCGGTTGTAAAATGCATTCTAAACGTAGTAAACAATCTAGGTCACAGGCCAGTCCCTCTCTGTATATGAACCTACTCAGATTAATCTGGTGGTGGTTTTGTATCAGTTGGTGGTATGCTCTAGTAAATTTAACAGGGTTAAAGAACTATGGTCCCTCGTATCTGACCGCAATTTTAGACGAAAGAAGCCCTTTTTATACTTAATGCCCACAACAATCATCCAGATTGGTTGATTGCCCACGGGGTTAAAGTTCTATATCATCTTCTATTCCCACGGCAAGCACATGAGCTGTTAATGTGAAAAAATGGCTGCCTCCAGTTGTCGAATGACAGAATCGTGGAAAATAGGGAAAATGGGACAATGGAAGTTACCTCTTAAAGCAGGTAATGCCCTGTTACAATATACATGTATAATACATGTACCTATATAAAGTAACTATAAAGGTGAGAAAGCGGAGCAATGACAATATAGGGACAAATAAGGCTGGAACATGTCAGGATCCCCTTTGGTCAAACAGCGAGACGAACTCATACTAATATTTCAATATAAGGCAATAATAATACTCAGACACGATGTCTGTAATAAAAAAAATTTCATTCAACCAATGTCTCAAAACAGCGTCCATATTCGTCCACCCAACAACACAAGAGATATTTACATGCCGGACTGGCATCAGCATCTGCTGGCGTCCTGCAGAATCCTGCCCTGCATAAGTCATTACTTGTATGAAAATCCGACACTGTGTCCACACTTGTATTAAACAATAAAATACATTGTCCAAGTGTACTAATACGATCTTGCAACGTTTCAGAATCTTCGATAAATCCAAATCAACATGTAGAGCGTGTTTCATAGACCGACGGTCGTCTCCAATATATGTCATTCCATATAAATGTAAATCCACGTACCCAGTTCTGGTCTTCGAAAAACTGAATGCTTCCTTACTTGATATGGCCGTGCATAATCATCCTATTCGAAATATTAGTGTATGGGTTAAATAAGTTAAACGAACTTAATTGAATAATTGTTCGATAAGGGAACACTCGAAATGTTCTTCTTTATGGACTTTTTTATTCAGCCGAATTATTGAAAGAAATTTCAAAGCTTAATCATGTTAATGACACTTCAATCAAAATATATATTTATTTGGGTTCAATTAGTTTCATTTGATGTCATATTGTTGAACAAGGTAATGTGGTAAATTTCTTATCGTAAAAATTACATCCGTAATCGTGCATATCACATCGGCGACATAATGATCAACAGTTTATACTTCAGGTGTGTAATTAAAAAAAAATGTATACGTAAGTAGCTGGAAATTTTCAATCTTCATAAAGAAAATGAGAAATACTGTCTTGAATCAAGACTTTCTTAATTGTTTTATATTTATAAGGAATGCTTATAATATAACCGACGTACGTGAAACATCAAGATTTCGATACTAAATAGAACAACAAAACATTCAATATGGCGCGCATTGATAGTTGGAAGTCACTGAATGTTCTCAACAAATGTCTTTTATTATCAACTACAGTGGCAATATGTTCGCTTTCTCATGGGAACTTCTACTCAATTTTGGATAACAGATCATATACCTGAAAATGCAGTGTCGTTTACGGAGAATTTTTACGTTCCCTCAAAAAATTTAAAGCATGACTGAAAATGATCAGTACTTTGGACTTTGGCAGTGGTGTATCGGAGGGAACGGTTGTATTGTATTGATTTAGGTTGGATGTCCATGTTTATATCCAACACGGATTGGCATGCATGGCCATAACAACTTAATACACTCATAGGTAAGATGATTTATTGTATTTTTCAAATTAAACTTTAAGATAAAAACAAAATGCATCAATGAAAAGTCGAGTCAAACGGAAACTATACGCTACTATCTCATTGACGTACATGTATACCTCAAATCTCCTTTTTATTCCTATTTATACTAAGTTCATGCATAATAGAAAAAAAAGGATATTTGGTATCCATCTATGACACAAACATGATATTGAAAGCAGCAGCAGCCTTAATCAAGAATGATATTCGCTTAATGCCTGTCAACAAATTATACTTTAAACATGAGTCAAATAAGACAGAATGAATGATATTGCATAATTATGTAAATAATTGAAATGTGGATAAAAGATGACGAAATATATTCAAAAGGACAAAAATTTTACCAACATTGTAGTATAGAGTTTACCAGATATACTCGTCAACGGTGGTGTCATTTAAAAAATGCTCTAGATCGCTCTGTGTCTATCTGCAGATCACTGTTGCAAACTATTTCAACCGAATCGACCATGTATTTGGACGTACAATATAAACAGATGGACAGCGGTGCAAACTCATCAAAGATATGAAAACGAGAAGATGTTGTATGATTGTCAATGAGACGCTACTATTTGATTTTTATAGGAGGGGCTAGGATGAAATTTGAAAAAAGGCAAGACAGGAGTTTTGAGTAAAAAAAAAGTCAGGATGAGCAACTTGCCCCCCCCCCCTAAAAATTAAATGGTAACTCCCTAACTACTATAGAATTTTGTAAACGAGAATGTTCGCTGTTTCAGAAAGAAAGGAAACAGTAGTTTATTCTCTGATTAATAAGAAGACGCTAGCAATCAATGTAATTCACACTTAATTGTCCACTTTTCCTAGTATGTACTTTTAAAATGAATATTATGGTAACGTCGGAGTAATCCCTTGCGCAGAGATCATATCCGTTTTGTTCCATACGTACCACTACTCTCAATATTCAATATAACTGAAGTATAACGAAGAACGTATGGAACGGATATGAACTCTGAGCCGGAGATTGACGTCGACGTACATGTATATGAAAAAGATACACTTATTTCTAAAAAATTGGCAATTAGTGAAATAAAATAGCTACCCAAAAATCTAAATATAATCGTTTTACCAATATAACTATACCATTTTGTAATATGCTCATGAAAATAAATGTTTATCTTAACGATAACGTGGACTTGAATAGTAAAAAGAACTTGATATATTGTGTTAAACTATTTCTATCCATTAAATTTCCACTTCAAGGTTTTTTTTACCGGATCGTTTTATATCGTTTATAACAAATCTATAAAGTATACATCCACTGACCGTATTAAGCATTGAGCCACACCTACGGCTGATATTAATTCTTCAAATTTGTAATAAATGTACGCACTTCAGCAAGGCGACAGCGATATAAACTCACTTCTCTTACAAAGAATGATTGTTCTTGTTCTTATTATAACGTTGATTGCTTATTCTAACATCAGGATGAACCTTTGAAAGCAGTTTTAAAAATTGTAAAAGATAAAAAGATAAAATACGATAACACTTAACAGGTATAAACATATTTTAGAATACACACACATTCATTGTGTACTGATTAGACAAATAACGATATCTCAAGGCTGTCTTAGAAACTGGACAAATGCGGGGATCCTAGACTATTTTTTGTCTATTTATAAGAAGACAACCGATTTTTCTAACTTTTAAATCTTATACTTACGTCAATTGTTAGGTATACTGTTTAGTATTTGTGTCCTGCCTACAAAAAAAAAAGATGCATTTTGAAATCTGGTCTGTGCGTTCCTTCAACCAGTAGGCCGTTCCGTACAAGATTAAATAGTTTGGTCAAGGTTGTGCAACATGAAGTTTTGGTAATATCATTTTGAAACTTAGTACACATCTTTAGTTTGGGGTGAACTTTAAGCAATAAATCCCAATCCCGTAGAAAAAGGAGTAAATAACATAAAGAACAAACTGTTATAATTAGTTTAAGAAGGATTAACTCATCACATCAGAACAACATATACCAAAAGAAATACCGACCTGATACTCACAGTCACAAGTAGACAAAAGACTTAAAGTGTCGATCTGAGATAGAGAGGCAAAAAATACCAGAGGGACATTCAAACTCATTAGTTGAAAATAAGCTGACAACTACTTGGCTAAAAAAAAGGACCAACAGACAAATAATATACACAAAACACAACATAAAAAACTAAAGACTGAGCAACACGAACCCCACCAAAAACTGGGGATGATCTCAGGTTCTCCGGAAGGATAAACAGATCCTGCTCAACATGTGGCACCCGTCGTGTTGCTAATTTTTTGTACAAACCCGGTAATAAGTCTAATTTGGTAGGTCACATTCGGGAAAAGGGGACGGGATTGTAGTAACGACATTAGGAACATATTTGCTATCATCTGTGAAACGGATATTCCATAACGGTCAACCAACTCGTGATGGCGTCCGTAAAACTTACAAAGGGATGGTTTCAACTTCACCACTTGGAACTCTTGGTTTAATAGCTTCCTTGTGAGTAGCAACCTTATATCAATCAGTACTCATCTTACTATACATGTACGGCCGTACGGTGACCACTAGTTATTAGCCTTTGCATCATTCGGTCTCTGGAGACTTATTGGCAATCATACCACATCTTTTTTTATACGTAGTACCGATAAAGACAAAATTCAAAATGTTAAAGTGTTAACCTTTAGGTTTCTTTAAATGACCAATACGTTTGAACTGGTCGTATTTTAATTTCCGAGCTATTTAAATAACATTAACATAAAATTAGGATGTGTTTTCTCATTTGTAATAAAATTTTTACAGGTACATGCACACTTTGAAACAAAACAATAAGGAATGATCTACCAGTTCTACATAGAGTACGTTTATTGAAATTTTAGATGTCATTACAAAAGAGACAAAAGGAACATAAGGTACATCACTGTCCAAAAAAGGAAAATGTCAATAGGGAACGAGACATTGTCTCTTCGTCTCAAACATGTCAAATGTTAGCATAGAGTTATCCATATTTTTTTTTATCATACCACCGGTTTGCTTTATTTTTGCGAGACTTTATAATCTAGCAGGTTCGGCTTTAGGAAAAACAAACAACTAATTCAAGTAATACTTTTATTCCCCTTTTTTTTCAACTTCAAATATTTTATTGCACTAATAGTTGTGAACAATGTCCTTTAATTTACAACAATGACGCTAAGGATCCTCCATGTGTTGTTAATTGCTAATGAAATCAGGGGATTTAATTAGCAAAAATATCATACATTTATATTCTGTATAAATTGCATTTTACAAAGTATATCTACGAGCACACATACACATACATATTTGGTGACACTAAAACGATCAGAGAGAGAAAAAACCAAAAAAAGAAACCGGATTTGTTTTGATAATAAATTCGAATTTCAAACCGGAAGTAGAATTAATCGAACAAGCATGGTTGGCCACATGGCTTGTAAGATAATTTCATGAAATGGTAAGTAGTTATTGCATTTAGTATGATTTTCTTTTCAATATTATCTCATTATTCAAAGAAATGTGTAAATTTGTAAACATAATATGATCGAATATTTCTGGTTCGTACATAAAAGAAATCAAGGAAGGAGCTATTGATTCCCCCTTGATTGATTCATTGATTGATTGTTTATTGCTTAAATACTTCAGCAAATATTTAAAGTTTTCTTCTCATAACAACATGTGCATAAAAAGATAAATATAATCAAAGTTCTAATATTTTCCTCTGAAATTTTCTCAAAAATTGACTATCTGAATGATATAAAAATTGTTTTTCAATTTCATTTTTTAGGACTGACAACATATTCACAAATCTAGTTCTCTTTTCTGATAAGTAAAAACATTTATAAATCACAAAACAAATCAGTGTTAAAACATGATTAAGTGTGTTATATTCATTTTAACCGAGTTGCATTCAAAGAAAAAATGGTTATAGTTATCACATTTGAAACAAATCTCACAGTTTGGATTACTAGATACTTTAAACGCTACAAATTATGATTAATTGCTATAATGTTATGCAGTAGTTTCCATCTGAACATTTTCATTCTATTATCTTTTAAAAAACGGAATGTAAAAGAATTGTTCTTCTTTATAAAATATGTAACATTTTCAAAAATGAAATGATTTTTCCATTAGCAGAACCCTACTGAAAGCTCTTTATTAGATCTAATTATAATATCTATTTCTTTGAATGAAATTTTGTCCAGATTGATTATAATAAAATCCATGGCAGATCATCTTTAGATCTTGTTGAATGTGAATTATTGTATTTATTGATGTTTTACTCTTTAATTTCTCTTTCCAAGATTTGGGTATAGCTTTTCGTAGAGTACATGTCTCTGCTATCCGGTTTTGTTTCTTTTTTAGTTTATTTAAGATTTTTTGTGAAATTTTGCCTTTATCATCAATTATGTCATTAATAAAAATTATATCTTCTGCTACCCAATGCCTAAAATTTAAACTTTTGCCATGGCTCTTAATATATTGATTTCCCCATATAACTTGTTTCCTTATATCTATATAGCTTTCAGGTTTTTTTGTTTCCCCGCCACCATTTTTAATCCAATATTTCAATATTTCTCAGTAAAAAGTGGGCAGGTTTTTTATGTTTTCTAATGATTTATGAGAACCCAGATTCATTTTAAACAGCAAGTTTTTACCTCCAAACTCCCTGAAATAATAGGTTGGAATAGTTTTCCAGTTTGCCCAAGTTTCATCTGTAAGTCTTTTAACCCAATTTATCTTCATTGCTTCAATGTCTGAATCAATATCTGTCATTTTTAACCCCCCTTCTAAATGATCTTTACTTAACACTGAGCGTTTAACTTTCTTGCTACCACCCTCCCATAAGAAATGATATATCATTTTCTTAAACTTAGTTTCTTTGCACAGATTTATCAGTGATGCAACGTATGTTATATTAGGTATTACAAGTGTTTTGATGATAGTGATTTTACCAATCATGCTTTATTTACTTTGTTTCCAATCATTTATTATTATTTCTGATTTTTCCAACTATTTCACTATATTTAGTGTATGACATTCTTTTTTGTTAGAGCCAAAATAGATACCAAGGCTTTTTACCTTATCTTTCCAAATAATGTTTTCAAATTTGTCTTTACAGTGTTTATGTTTGACTAGCCATACGCCTTCTGTTTTGTTTCTATTGAGTTTAAGTCCAAAGAAAGATCCAAAGGTTTCAATTATGTTAAGTGCATGCTTTATTTCATCTTTAGAATTTAAAAAAAAAGTTGTGCCATCTGCTAGTTGTGAGAATTTTAGGCTATGAGTTTTTTTATCGATTTTGATTTGTATTTCTTTCATATCATTAGAGTCCCTTATTCTGCAAGCAAGTAATTCAACTGATAAAGCAAATAATAAAGGACTTAAAGGACATCCTTGTCATATTCCGCGTTCAATGTCAAAGGTTTTTGAAATCCACCCGTTTTTAAGATACATCCTTTTATGTCATGATGTAGGGTTTTGACCCACTTCTGAAATGATTCATTAAATCCAAATTTCTTTAAAATCCCCTTCCAGTGAATCAAATACTTTAGAAAAGTCAATAAATAATATAGCTCCTTCAATATTAAAATTTTTAGATTAATCTATAATGTCTTGAATTTGACGCACGTTAAATTCTATTTAACGATTTTTTATATATCCATTTTGGTCTCTGTGAATTATTAATGGTAGATTTTTTTAAGTCTGTGCTAGGTTTTATGTTATTCATTTCACATCTGTATTTAATAAAGTTATTGGACGGTAATTATCCAGGGACAAAGGGTCATTTTTCTTATAAATTAGCGATATAATCTCAATCTTTTTGGGTGTCAGATAAAAATTCTTTATCATAACAAGTATTAGAGACTTTGTTCTTTAGTGTTGGCCAAAAGTGTCGATAAAACCCAACTGTTAAACCGTCTTTCCCAGGTGTTTTGTTTAATTTCATATTAAAAATGGAAGATGTTAACTCTTCTAGTGTTAATTTACCATCTACCTGTTTGCTTTCAGAAGCTGTCAAAGAATGATTTATATTTGTATTTTCAATATATGTCTTTAAAATTTCAGTTTCAGGGTAAGAGCTTTTATACAATTCTTTGTAATACTCTTTATTATATTTAGAATTTCACCTTGATCTACAGAAACCTCCCCATTTTGGGACAATAATTTATTAATAGATGTTTTTGATTGCCTGTGTTTTCTTTAAATAAAAAAAGAATTTTGTATTGTTTTCACCTTCCGCAACCCATTTTATTCGATACATATTTTGGGCCTCTTTTTTCATTGACGGATATATATCATCAAGTTCTATTCTAACTGTTTTATTTCATTAGAAAGATTATTATTTGTTTCTATAGATAATGTATACAGTCTTTTATTTAAAGTTTTAATTTTGTTTTTCCTTTCTTTGGCTGTAGATTTACAGTATTGAATTGTAGTGTCTCTTGTATCAGTTTTGAACAAGTCCCACTGAGTAAGAAGATTTTCTTTTTAAAATTTATTCTCGTACTTATCAATTTACTTATTTATTATTTCTTGATACTGTAAGTCGGTCAGTACACTATTATTCATTTTGAAATAAACTTTTCCACGATTACTTGCATAAATATCTAATTTAAGAGAGATAGATTGGTGATCTGTACTTGAAATTTGAGCTGGTCTGATATCAGCTGATACTGTCAGCATGCGTACTTATGAGCTTATTATAAAAAGTCAATTCTACTGGCCTCATTTATAGAATGTTTTCTTTTCCAAGTGTATTGTTTTTTGTTTTTGATGTAAAAGTCTCCAAATGTCCATCAATGTATTTGTTTTAATTAACCGTTTAAGATAATTTACTGTTTTTTAAAACCTTTCATGAAGATTGTGATTTTTTGTATCCCTACTTGAGAGAAGGTCGTTCATATCTCCTCCTACTATTAATGCACTTAGGGTGTGCTCTTACTTGTTTAAAGACTGTGTTCCTTGCGTGAACTTCATTTGGTGCATACAAATTTAATAATTAAAAGTAAATATCTTATCTTGAATTTCCAAATTAACTATGATTATTCTTCCTTCATTGTCACAAAATTCGTTTATTAGCTTAAAATCTAGAGTAGAGTTTTGTTTATAAAGAAAGAAACGCCTCTCGAGTTTGTCTCACCTAAACTATGTTGATGTTTGCCAGGAAATTCATTATTAATTTTCGTTATAATATCTTTTGAAAAATGGGTTTCTTGTGCCATTAAAATGTCGCACTTTTTTTTTCCTTGCTAACCCTTGACAATTTAATGAACAAATATGAAGATTTTTAATGTTCATAGTAGTTTGGTGTATTTACCAATGTAGTAGAATGTTCCAAAAATTCATTTAAATGCCAGTAACAAAATTTTCGATTAACGAGTTTGGTCGTGACCCAGATGTACGCCAGGTCATTTATAGACTTATTAATAGCATTGTGGAAGTTAACTTCTATTTTGAGCTTCATTACTGACTTTCCTAAAAATTTCTCGTACTAGGTAAATAAACTGTACAGGATTTAAGTTTTGAAGTGTATATTATTTTGATGTTAAAAATTGACACTTATGATCTTTATATAAAATTTACTACTTTCTACTTCGTGACAAACTTTCTTTCCTTTTTCAGATCCAACAACAAAGGCTTTATTTAAATTTGATGCTTTGACCTTATATGAACTTCCGACTACCTGAGCTATTTTGACAATCAACATACGCAGGATATGGAATGTAAACAATTGAATAATTCTATGAGTATTTATATATGCACAGACATCATATGCATGATTTATGTGACAATATAGAGGGGATACAGCATTATTTTGTGAATTTGACATTTCAACTGATTTTATCCATCTAAGGAAATTTGTTTGTTGACATCCTAGAGAAATGCACTTTAGGAGTTTATTAATCACAAGCATAACACTTTTATAGTTTATAAAAGCTGTAGATTTTGTGTAAGATTTCAAGGACCGCTTGAGCTGAAACAGTTTTCTGCCTAACTGAAAACGGTCTAAGCGAATATTAAAGGACATATCAACAGATACTTTTAAAGTGATATTGATACAGTTTATGAATACAGTACCAATTTCAAAGGACATAAAAGTGTATGTTTCAGATAAGGCTCTGGTTTTATTCTTTTAAAAAAATGCTTTTACATTCTATTAATTTATATTCCAGACAGTCTTCATATAGAGCTTTAGCTACATTTGAAATATTTAACTAATTTTTAAATATAAACTCTTTACATGTATATAAATTCTTCTTTTATATAGACATCACATTCACAAATTATATTTATGTTAACATGTTAGACACAGTCTGTGGTTATATGAAAAAGTAAATCAAAATATATATACAAATTGAATAAAATTAAAAACATGTAAATTTATAGTAAATGTTTTTTTTTTTTTTATTGTATTTTTTTTCAGAAACTTAAGATTTAGTTTTTTTCTGAGGTTCCTCTTTTTCGTGCAGCTCGTCAGTGGGGGTACTTGTATTCTGTTTATTTTGTGTTCTTGTCTCATCGTTGGGTTTGTGAGAAGGAGTTCGAAAAGCTTCTTTTAAGAAATGTTCCTTGCTTTGCTGATCGTTAGAAGAACGTTGTTGTTTGTGACCTTTTTATGTTGAATTTGTAGCAGGTGCTTTCTCATTTTGGCTTGATTGATTGTATTGCATGTTACTGTCTTGTTTCTCTACAGTGTCAATTATTTGGTTTTTGAATGTAAAGCTGTGTTTTTAATTTGACAGATCTGATGGTTGGGGTTTATCATATTTTCCATTTTCCTAATGATCAGATTTGTCATCCGAATCTTAATCGGATTCTGATTGGCTGTCTTCACTAGCATTACAGTATTGTGCTGTATGGCCGGATTTTCCACAGGTTTGACAAAACCAATCATTGGGACAAGTAGTTCAGTAATTAGATGTATGCCCAATGCCGCCAGTCATTAGTGCACTCAAAAATCTTATGTCCCTCTTGCAGACATTTGTTGCATTTGATTGTTTTCTGAGTGTCTTCTTTTCCCCTGTAGAGCTCTATATGTACGAATAAGAAGAGTTTTTGGTAACGGTGTGGGGATGGGATCACAGGTAGCAATGCGATCTCCGGTCTGACAGTTTGTATGACGCCCATCAACTCTTAACCAAATATATTTTATTTACAATTCAATTTTGTTCCTCCAAAGCTTTCTTAACATGTCCATCGTCTGCAGAGCAGGTTATATTTTTGAATCTCACCCGAATGTTTGGTGGGTATTCATTTTCCGCTACCATAGGATTTTTGGGAGATGTTTGAATAAGCTTCTCTCGAATGACTGAACCATTAGTAAGCGTTTTATCCCGATCCTCATGATTATCAAAATATAACCTCCACAGACCCCTCACTCTTTGTGAGCCTTTTAAGTGACTGGGATTCACAAAAAGTAAAGTTGATGATAAAAATTCTAGTCTCTAATTTTTCTTCATGCTGGAATGAAAACAAATTTGATTAGAAACCACATTTCGACCGTTAAATTGATTTGGACGAACGAATTAAAGTATGGTTTCTGTTGTTTCAGACATTAATATAAAATATATTTCATTAATAATCTTTGATTAAGTTTGAGACTTAACAAAATGCATTGTTGTATATACTTTACATAACGTATGTGTAAGATATTTTGTTTTCATTTTTTTAACATATTTCTTGATCATGTTTCGTGTAGTAGGGATGTTTTTATGCAATTCATAAACATGACTCATATTACTTCTTTTGATGAACTTTGCTTTTATATTGAAACATCAATTTCCCATGATATAGGTATGAACATATCAAAGATACCATACTTTTAATTTGTTACAGAAGACTTACGTTTCGTCTATAAAAGACTTGTCAGTGGTGCTCGGGACAAACAATGACTGGATGATTGAAAACATTTAAAATCTCTTTAATCGATCGAAAAGAGATAAATCAAGGTAAAAACAACAACTGACGGAATTACATAAATAAAGGCACCAGTAGTATACCGCTGTTCATCAGTCATAATTCGATTAAGCAAAAACAAAATCGGGTAACAAACTAAAACCGAGGGAAACACATCAACGTTAAGAGGAAACCAACGGAACAACAGAATCACTGAACTACAACAAAAGCAAACACCAACGTTAACATACATAGAAACGGACTGTCTGATAACAACTGCCATATTTCTGACTTGGTACAAAACATGTTAAGAAAAAATGAAAAGAAAGGAAAAAACACTTAAAAGAGCGACACCGGGTGTGTTAACATGTTAAGCGTCTCTGATTATTCACGAATCCACCGCCATATGCGAATCAACACTTAGTCAAAATGTTACAATTACGGGGATTGAACATTTGCTAAAATGACAGATGCGACGTCTATTTTAGAAGACCGCAAAACATTTTGCTATAGAGTTCAGACACAGACACATTGTATCGATCGATCAACCAAGTTGTGATCCTGACCAAAAAAATGTATGAAGTGTCTATTTCAGTCGTTCCTTCTTTGATGTGTAAGAGTAGCTTTTGTGTAGGAAACAAACCCTTTTAAATGACGTCCGTATAGTGTGAGCGCTATGATATGGGGATAAAGGGTATGTTACTGCTGTGAAATTGGAAGTTGACAATAGGATAGTTTAGATAAAACACCTTTTAAGTACTAATGTATCGTCATATTGTCTGCATTGAACAAATCACAGGAAAAAGCAAAAGTTTATCGATATCTGTTTTATAAAACATCAACAACTAAGGCACAATTTCATTCTAATACTACATAATACTGTTTCTGAGGAAAAAAAATATTAGTTACTTAGTGAAGAAAAGAAGAAAAACAGGCAACTCCGAAACACCCTTAAAATGGCCCTTATATGCATGTAATTATGGAAACGTCGTAAATAATGAAATATAGTACAATGCACATGAAAATATTAATACACAAAATATATACTTTTCCCAAAATTGGTAATTAGCTAATTGAATGATTTTCTAGAAATTCAAAATATAACGGTTCAATCACAATAACTATAATGAACTATATCATTTTGCAATATGTTTGTAAGAATTATTTTAAAAATAATTATCGAAAGGATAAAGTGGATTAAAATTTCCATATCTTTATATTGATATCTTACGTTCGGAATGATAGACGCTGTCTATCTTTTTAAATTCTAATTCAAGTCATATTTATCGTTTTTAATTCTGAAATTGTCCAATTAAGTCAGTCAAAATGCAATGAGTGTATACATTTATGTGATATACAGTCACTGGCCGTGTTAAGCCACGTTTGCCGCTGAGACAAACTTTTAAAAATTCGTTATGAAATGTACAACTTCAGCGAGACGACAGCGACATTTGTTCATTTCTTTTATAAAAATATTTCTCTAATCATTTGTTAAAACAATTGTATGCATTGTTACACGTACATTCATTGCTAAATCTGTATTTGTATACCTTCTCCACTTTTTTAAACGGCGGGATATTGTGATTGGGATTCTGTCCGTTAGTGCATTGATTCGTCCTTCTGTCCGACTTGTACTATTGCATCTGCCATTTTTTTTTTTAATCTAAATGATTTTATACTTTCCTTTAGCAAATCACAGATTTACAAGGGACTGACTATCAGTTTGTGAGCCTTGCTCGTATTACTTGTAGTGTATTCTGTAATCAGCTCAGTAAGAGGTAATTTACAAGATGACATTTCAAAAGCAGTTTAAATAAAAACAAAACGTAACGCTAAACTGGTATCAACATGTTTTAGATTTCATTATAAAGCTGCAGTAGAATATTGATTTGATATGCTAATGATATAAGGATAAGGCATAGAAATGACCATAACAGATTTCATATCAGAAGTATTGTATTAGCAGCCCTAGGTCATAATATAAGGCTCGAGGGCTGATATTACATCTGGTATGAAAAAAAGACATGTAATGTTCTTTTTATAATATACTTCAACTTGGGAAACTATCATTGTATAAAAATGTGCTACTTAAAAAGTATCAATCTCAGCTACACAGGCCGTTTAAGATATTTAGTTTTGTTTAAGAAATATTCAACCTTAGAATACTCATGTACTTATATTTTCTAAACATGCATAATTATGGCTGTACTGACAAAAAATGTTTAGACTGACCATATTTGCTGAAATAGTTTGACATTTTCAACACTTTCATAGATTAAACTAAAGTTTGAAAATGTTGAGAAAAAAATGCAAACATTGTATTATTTGTTTTGTACTTTTTTTGTATAATATTCTTTCCAGTTTCTTATATCTGCCTTTCATGATTCTGTGTTACATTTTTTATAGAAAAAGTGAAGTTATTTAGATTTTCTGGACCATGTATATAATTGGCCCATACTAGGAATTACCATGTTTGTAATTGGCCCACTGAGAACCAATTCGGAAAACACCGAATTCACGTTAATTCAATGCCATTGTCATACTGTAAAAACAATAGTCATTTACTTTAATAACAGTAAAATGATAATATCAGATTATAACATGATAGCTTTTCATATCAGATATAATATCAACCCAAGAGCCGAAGCCAGTTTATACTGCAAGTCAATAAAATAAGCATTTGAATATATTTCATTACATTGAATATATATTATGCCGTTGAATGTGTATATGTTCTTGCAGTATTTTGAAGTTTCATTCTGATACTTTTATATTTGCAAAAATGTAGAAAAAAACATTTGAGACAGGCCTGAACTTCTTAATTTTGTCTTTGATTTTATTTTTTTCGATTTGTTATTTATTCTCTTTTTCTTTTTTAGTGGTTACGTCTTTATTTTTTGCTTTCTATTTGATGATTCAATTCATACAGCTGTAGAAGTAGCCAGACAATTTGCCACACAAACAATGTACCAAAATGCTTAATTTTAATGAAAATGACAAAAGTCATCATACTGTCATTTAGGAAAATTCGGATCGATTCGGTTCTATAAATCAGTGTCTATATGACGTAAAATCGAGGTCCAAAATTGGTATCCTCTTATCGACGTCAAACTATGATTCGTTTGATAATCCCCACCCCCCTTCCCACCCTACACACACATACCAGTGTACCATACAGGTTGTAATGACATTGTCAATTTTTAATGACATTTTATTTTTAATGACATTGTTATTTTTTAATGACAAGCGTTATGAATAATACATATTACACCGAATCGTGAACAAGATTTCAGG